TTTTTCACAAACCTTCCACCATAGCCATTTTCAAGTAACAAAGCCTGGGTTAATGCTGAAGGAAATAATACTGCAAGTATAATATGAGAGTATATCACGTGTTTCTTCTTTCAGTATTATTAATATTTATTCTGAATTTATTTCTTGTGTATATTCACATAATATGTGATCAAGAAAACTGTTACATTTGTTCCTTTGTCATTTTCAAAGTAGGCGATACCTGTTACTACCTGTGGGTAACATGGCTTAGTGACCTTGTTTAATGATGTTGAAGGCAATATCCTTCACTGGTTGTACAGATAATATCTAGAGTTCACGGCATGAGAATAGCCAGTCACGTGGTATCGTAGTCGTGCTAGATAATGCGAGGTTTCGTTTTAGGTAGAAACCTTGCATTTAGTTAGTACTGTGGTTGATCTGAAACCGAGAATGTTTAGTAGTAGTAGTAGTACAGTTCAACGCAAGTAAACTGCATCTGTGTTCAGTGCATAATAAAAACCGCTCAATTTGTATATCACTTTTTATCCAGGTTCATTATTTTATTAAAAATCAGCTCGTTCAGTAGGAGATTTATCATTACTCTATAATTGATGTCTTGATCGAATCCCCTGTTTAGTGTATCTATCCAATGAATGTCAAACTTGTATTCAGTTTACCTGAATATACCACACAAGCACAAGCTCCTACAAAATAACTATTTGATTCAATACTGCGCAAACAATGTCATCCGTCTTCCACGAGATACGATATCAACGAACACGTCTTCTCCCCAGAAACGATGAAACACCTACTTTCTGCTTCGAGTCAGACATTTATAATCAACGTGTGTTCTAACTACAACTTGTGCCAAAATAGGAATTAAGAAATACTCAATGAAAAATGACGAAATATTTTAACCCTTCACGACTTAACATGTCACATGAAAAACGAATAAAACACAGAGTTCACCAAATTTATTTTGGCATGACACATAAATTACTTACTATAAATTATTTCTTATAGACAATTTCACATATTTTTTGTATATTTCAGATAAAACCAACTGAAAACATTCTTTACTAACTAACTTCATCAAACACTGGGTCAAACCTGATTTTCTTTCAAATCTAGTATGAGCTTATCTGTTACCTTTATTCCTTCAGTGTGAAATTCATTATCTGCAGAATATTTCAGTGTTGAAACTGAAAATATTATTGAACCAACATCAATGAAAACACTGTTTGTATCGTATCTTCTAATGATGCCCCATATGCCAGTATTCACAGTTTCACTTCATAACATTTCAATATTTTGTTTTACTTTTTATTCATTGTTGACTGGCAGTTGTGTTCTTTGCAATTCATATGCATGAAGGACTTCATGTAATGTCTCCAAATATATAAACTGCACATATATTGTTGAACAGATAGTCTCAGAAATTCTGCACAGCAACTATGATAATATCAGTTGTTACTTCTACAGAGTATATTTCTCTAACCCCCCCCCCCACTTCCAATAACGTGCTGCCATCTGTGTGTCGTTAAATTCAACTCATTCCATCAGCACCAAGAAATAATCATTAGAGAATTCAGCTAAAACTACTCCAACCAGAATTAATATTCGTGCTGTCCACTACAACATACATCATCAATACACACTCATACTGACACAGGCTATATACAATACTGAACAGTAAAATACATTCACTGCCCTAGATGATCATAAGAAATAATCATTAGAGAATTCAGCTAAAACTACTCCAACCAGAATTAATATTCGTGTTGTCCACTACAACATACATCATCAATACACACTCATACTGACACAGGCTATATACAATACTGAACAGTAAAATACATTCACTGCTCTAGATGATCATAAATTTCAGTTGCCATAATATCACGATATTATATCACTATATCCGCCCAATATATTATATATATTATAGAAACATCCTGTAAGTGTTAATTACACTATTACACTGAAAACGCTAAAATCCGGGGTTCGATTCCCCACGGTGAACGCAGCAGTTAGCCCACTGTGGCTTTGCTCTCAACCAAACACATAATACAACATGCTCTTAAATAATGATGATTATTACATTAAATAAAGACTGCTACTAAGTCAAACTTTTACTTAAGACTACTCGCATTATATTTATTCTGGTATATGACCCTTGGATTTAGGAACGATGTCTCCACCCGTACATATCAGCACTACCCAATCTCCCAAGAGCATAACGTGGACTGAATACCCATAGTTTCAAAACCAACCCATAAATGTCAAGCTGTGTATGGTCATATTTACCTTCAGTTATTCTTTCTTGTTTGATGCTTCTTCACAAAAACAGGGCTTCCAACTTTTTAGAAACCTGTTTGGGTGAGACGTTTTGTAAAAGTATAAAATGAAGACGTCGCTACAATCAAGGTTCAACATATAAAGACAAATTTATTCACAATAACAAGAGTTAGAATTAACTTCAGCACAATTAATAAACAAATGCTTGGCCAGGACGTCACACGAATATTAATAAACAATTTATCATAAATATTAATAAGTCAGGAAAAAGAACCAGTAAGGAAAAACCTCATTCCAAAAATAAATAAATAAAAATATGGCAAATACAATACCTTTCAATATCAATAAAAATGTTGAGTGGCAAACAACAATAACTATCTCGTTTTAGAGTTTTAACTCAACTAAAACTTCATAGTTAAACTAAACGATAAAAGGAAATAATATATGAACGATAAACAACCATAATAATACAAAAATAGAATAGAATTTGCTATCTCAAGTTTGAAAAAGTAAATCATTTTCGCTTTATATTAAAGTGTTATGAGCACTACAAGTGGTCGCCTTCTGAAAGGGGTGAGGTTTCTGGGGGCACGTTTCCTCATAAAATTTCTTATTCAATGAAGCAAAATGGTGCGATTCTGGTGCATTTGATGTATATCAACGTGACGCTGAACTTACATGGATAAAGGCTATCAGCCAAACATAATGCACCACACACAAAAATGATAATTTGACCAAAACATTTCTTTCCCGAATGAATGTGGAGAAAAACACAAATGTACAAATTTCATGCTCAATGGGCGAGTATTAGTAGCACTCTAAAGAGTAAATTTTCCCAATATGTATATTTCAGATATGCGAGGCATCAAGTTAAAAGTTATTACGTAAATATGATGCACCATGTTATTCACTAGGGAAAGTTCAATCGTTTCTCTAAAGAAACTTAGATAACAATAGTGATGTGTACTTGAAGACTCCTATTACTAGGTACTGACGATGAATTTTTTTTTTAATATATATATAAATAATTTTTAATTTGATTTGTTTTTT